AAAAGTTTTGATAGGTAAGACGAAGGTCTATAATTCTTCTTTTTTCTTCTTCACCTGTAGGTGTTTGAAGACGACGTCAACTTATGGAAAGAAGACTACAATCTTCAACCAGAGGTCGACTACGCAGATGCACCATACGAATCAATTGACGAAGACGAGCCTCGCGAGAAAAAAGTTAAAGCAACCAAGTCTCATCCGAACGTCGAGCGAAATCGCACATCTCAGGAGGGTACATATATTTTGCCCCAATGTGCCTTCCCAATTCCCCTGCAAACTCCCTCCCTCGAAATTTCCCCCAAGTTGTTTATTAAGCTGACACAGGTCCTGACAAGCACTAAACCCCGAAGCATCGAATTTTGGCCAATAGCACCTACCCGAAGCTGAGACCGCAGCGCAAAGTATTTGCCAGCAGAAGGCTCCTGTTATATTCTTCTGGGGAGTCAGCCTCGTGTCATCTTCATACACACACAAGAAGATTTACTCCCCGCTCACGACATAGAAGAACGCAGGTCAATCCCGTCTGGATCTTCTCGAGTCTCTACGAAGACAGCGTATTATAATGCGAGGTTACATTTTGATTAGTAGATCGGGATCCATTAAAGTGACCAGTTCGTTCGTCCTGTAGAAGTGAGCGATGCCGTTCGCCAAACCTAAATGGGGGTCGTATGTCCGCCAGGCAAGAAGCCGGAAATTGCAAACGAACTCAGCTCCAGTAAGTTTTAACCGCTGGAGCATGCTGAAAGAAAGGTCAGCAAGAGTAGCTTATGTAGGCTCACACATATACCCCTAGTCCCAGCATTTTGTCTTGCGAAAACGGTGGATATAGAGTTATGGGGGGTGGGGAAATAGGATAGGCGAAGAAGGAAAGTGAAAAGTGTAAAAAATTTAGTCGAAGTTGCTTCCCGCGGCCGCTGGGAGTAAGTTGTTCTGCATGTAAATTGAAGGTGTGCGCGGTGCTTCGCGCCGCGGACTACACTCTGCTTCCCGCGGTCGTTGGGAGTAAGTTGTTCCGCATGTAAATTGAAGGTGTGCGCGGGCTTCGTGCCGCGGACTATACTAATCTAAATCCAGAACGGTAAGTTGGACCACAGGTAAGTTGAAGTAGACGACCTCCTAACCTACATTTCAATTTTTCGGGAAATTAAAAAATGCAATTTGATAGTCGGGGTTTTGCCGCAATAAGTTAAACGATAATACAGTTTAGGAAAATCTACAGATATTAATCAACATCACTTCTAAATAGAGAAAAATAAAAATGCATTTAGCATTTATTAATGTATATTCCACTGCGTGTCCTAATTTCCCGCCCATAAAACCTGATAAACACCGTTTTCGTAGGAAAACATTCAGGTTGTAGGGATTGGTGAGTGGGCCTACAAAAGTTACTGTTGCCGAAAGGTCTATTGCAGTTGATTAAGTTAAAAGAGCAAACCCTTGCCACTGCGCTATTCAGGCCCGCTTGCGTACGGCGAAGAGCCGCCAGGTGGAAGGAATAGTTTATTCTGTACG